CAAAACAGTTCCGTCAATTCCCAAATAGGCATGCTCTATTCCAGAAAAACAATGAAATTCTCATTTTCATTTCTCAATCATGCTCATTTCCAGAAAATCAATAAAATCCTCATTTTCATTCCAATCATGCTCAATTCCAGAAAATCAATAAAATCCTCATTTTCATTCCAATCATGCTCAATTCCAGAAAAACAAGGAAATTCTCATAAAAACCATCACAATTTCCATTTCAATTTAATCACATTCAGATGCTGATAAAATCAATTTAAAATCAATTTAAACCTTGCCAGCATCTCAAAAACAATTGAAAACATGCTTTGAAATCGAAGGGCTTTACCATAATTTACTTACCTCACTCGCACAGAACAGAAGGCTAACCCAAGTGCTACGGTGACAGAACGATCAAAACCTAATCACAATATTCCAAGAATTAATATCGCACTACCATAAATTCAAACTGAAATCATCAACACTACCCCAATCACAGTGCTATTTCTATCAATCTCCACATAACCGAACATCTCCAATTTCATTCTTATATCACAAACTAAACCTTTAAATCCCGTTAATCGTTAACCCTCGGTGTGTGAACAGTACCCAATGAACAGTGCTCACGACGTGAACAGTATTGCCAACTTCCAAAAATTGGCCAAAACACTAGCTAATTCACGGGATTTTCACACAAAATATCACAGCAATCAATTAACACTCAAATCACATAAATCCCACTTGAATTAAGCTAAATCATGGTCCTAAAGCTACCGGAATTCCTCCCATTTTCTAGCAAAAATTTGGACAACATAGGCAACCATCAATCAACTAGTTTTCAAGAATTAAAGAAGCCAACCTACCAGAAATTTTCCAGCTGCAGAACCGGACATGGTAGGGGGAAGAGGCCGGCGGCAATTTGGGGGAAATTCTGTAGGAACTCACGGGATTTACCCAAAATTAAAGGAACCCAACTTAATCAAGGCTAAAAGGATGAAATCATGGCTGTTTCTTACCAAAAAAGCCGAGAATTCACACCCACACAAGCAGAGGCCGACGGACAAAGGGAAGAAGACAGCGCAGATCTGGAATTTCCAGCAAAGAGGGGAAATTTCTGGGTTTACTAGGTGTTCTAAGATAAGAAAATAGGGAGAAATCCCCAAGCTTTGCCGGATTTCCGGCCGGAAATGGGTGGCAGTGACGGGGTGGGCTCGTCGAGTGCAGAGGGTCGGGGGAGAAGAAGAGCAGGGCACACGGGTCTGATGAGGAAGGAAAGAAAGAAGAAAAAGAAAGAAAAAAGGAAAAGAAAAAGCAATTCATCCTTATCCTAATTTCCTTTCTTTTTAGCCCCTCAACTTTTTAAAATTTTGCGATTAAGCTCCAAAACAATATTTTTCCTCAAATAAGTCCCCACTTTAATGCTAAAATACCCCAAAATTTTGGGATATTACAAATATGATCATATCGGAGACAAAACAAGCAAAAGTTAATAAAAAAATCACAATTCACAATCACTTTCAAATCATCAGGACAGTCAAATAAACTCCGAGCAGGCATGCTCAAATCAATAAAAAGAATAATAATCTTATTTCAAATCAATCATGCTCATTTTTGTATAAAACGGGTTTAGTCCCACCACCACTTCAAAAACAAGTTAAAATACACTTTTAAAATCGAAGGGCGTTACCATAATTTACTTACCTCAAATCACGTAATATAGAAATTCACTCGCATAAAACTGAAGACCCGATCTCGGTACTAAACTGACAGAACGATCAGAAACCTAATCAAAATATTTCAAGAATTAATTCCGCACTACCACAAATTCAAACTAAAATCATCTTGACTACCCCCTAATCACGATGTTATTCCTATCAATTTCCACATGACTAGACCTCTCTAAATTTGTTCTTATATTACAAACTAAACATTTAAATCCCTGTTAATGGTTGGCCATCAGTGTGTGAACAGTGACTATAAACAGTAACCATAAACAGTAACTGATATTTCCAGAATTCAACTACAGCCAGCTAAAGGACCAGAAAAATGGAGATTTCATCAGATTTTTCAGAGCAGAAACGGACTGAAAAGGAGCAGAAAAACAATAGCAAATTGCATAATTTTCTGCGTGAACAGTAACTGATACGCAATACGCATGAACAGTTACTGCACTTCCAAAATTGGCCAAAACACTAGCTAATCACGGGGTTTTCTCTCCAAAAATCACAGCAGCCAACTCAAGCAATTTATACATGAATTAAGCTTAATTATGCTCTAATTACTATCCAAATTCATCCCCATTTTTCAACAAATTTTCGAACAATGCAAGGGCAGCCACTGCATGGTTAAATTCAACAATTAAAGGGGTAAATTGGGACTTAGATGGAGCTGCCACTTACCAGAATTCCAGCAAGCAAACCGGAGCTGGCAGGGAGGAGAAGCCGGCGGCAATTTCTGCAGGGGACTCACGGGGCTACCAAAAATTGAAGGAACCAAGAGCAATTAAGGTAAACCCAAGGCAATTCAAATCTAAAGAGGATTTAATGGCTGTTTTCTTACCAGAAAACCGAGACTCACACCCAGCAGCAACCGGCGGCAGAGGGGCGGAAGAGCAGAGCAGATCTGGAAATTCTGGGTTGAGAAAGAGAGTTCTAAGTCCTAAAGCTTGTTAGTGAGCAAGAAAAGAAGAGAAAAATCCAAGCTTTTACCATTTTTCTTCAAGTGGAGGTGTGTCAGGCTTGGGGGCCTTGCCGGCTGCAGGGGAGAAGAAAAAAGAAGAGCAGAATCGGGTGAGGAAGAAGAAAGAGAAAAAAATGCCAACCGATCCTTATCCAAAATTCTTTTCTCTTTTAAGTCCCTCAACTTTTGAATTTCGATCATTAAGCCCCAAAACAATATTTTCTCACACAAAGGTCCTTAACTTAAACGCTAGAATTCCCGAAAATTTGGGATATTACAAGTATGGTCTTATTGTTCTAATTAATTGATTGAATTTATTTTCACTTAGTTAAGGTACCTAAATTTTTCATTTCTAATGTATCTGTACCACTCAAATAAGTAATTTTTCCTTTATTTTTTTGAATTAAAAGTAAGCCAAACCAAACTACAATTATGTTGTACAATTTTTTTCCTTAATTTTTTAAAAAAATTTAGTTTAGAGAGAAATAAAAAAATTTATGATTAGTAATTACTAAATAAACTATGATTAATTTAATTAACTAATTGATTATACAATTACTATGTGGTAAATAAACAGTCAAGATTACTTTTAGAGCAAAATGGATAATAAAGATTACTTTGATAGCCATGTTTCAGACAGTCAGCCAGATTTTGACAGCCAAATGGACAGTCAACCAAACTTTGAGGTCCAAATGGACAGTCAACCATACTTTGACAGCCAAATGGACAGTCAACCATACTTTGACAGCCAAATGGACAGTCAACCATACTTTGACAGCCAAATGGACAGTCAACCATACTTTGACAGCCAATATGATGGTATAATTTCATTTTCCTTTTCCTTCCCATTAGTTTTTAATTCATGTTGGTGCATATCATTTACTAACATATTACTTAATTTTATGTTAATTTACATAGGAATTGTTGAAGATACTCTTGAATCATTATGGGATTATCCAAGGAAGAAGTTGACAAAAGCAAAGAATCATATAGCAATGCCCCAACACATTCCATTGCCTAAAAAAGAAGACAACGTTGTCTGTCAAATATGTGATATTCCTGGACATTTAGCTACTATATGCCCGCACCAATATGTAGTAACTTGTCAACTGTGTAATAATGAGGGTCATACTGCAAAAATTTGCCTAAATCGTTACCTTCCATATGAATTCATGTCAAACTCATCCAAAACAACTGCTGAGTCCTCTGAAACTATTACAAAGATATTAGGTAATGGTCGTTTGCATCTTAAATTTACTAAAAAGTCTTGGGATGAGCCACGTGAGAAACTATGTTCTATTCAAGAACCATAGTATATTTACCTTATCTATATTATGCAACATATTTCCTAATTTATGTTATCCATGTATGAGATTAGGGCATAGTATTTTATGTAATAACATTTTAATTATAATATTACGTTATCTTTTATATATATTTATGTGTTTCTGTTTCCCCAAAAATCCTCAGCCGATCTTTACCGCGTAAGTTTGGTTATTAGGCGTGCCACTTGCTTTGTCTAAAAACAAGAAAATAGGATTTTCCAGACGACCCTTCTCCTTTCCAACGGTCGACCTCTAATAGGATGGCTGGAAAGAACGTCTGTGAAATGAATTGCGCCCCAGACGATGTTGCAAAACAGAGGGTAGAGTTCTGCAAAATGGGTTTCTACTTGCCTTGGAAACCTCAAAGGACTTCACAACTAAACAAGTGTAATAAAAGCTACAAATCCTAAATTAAATGTGATATCCTAAGGCAATTAAACTAACATGAAGTAAATAACAGAAAATAACATGCCATAAAGATTAAATTCGCAGACAACAGAAAAAGTAAAATAACAGACAATGATTTCAACTATGCAGCCCATAATGATGACTAAAACTAAAGAAGAAACTATGAAATGATTAAAGTCTGGAAACTTATAAATTTAAATCTGAAAATTGAAATTAAACAAACTGCATGTCTGGATATTGTGCAGAAACAAAAGAACAAAGGTAGAAAACATTCATCCTATTTACATGAACGAATAACATAACTAAATCCATAAAAGGAAGAAGAACTAACCGAATCAAAAGGGCAGACTTGTTTTGAAGGCTAAGTTGCTTCCAAATGTTTTAAGACTAATCTAAATTGGAATTTGCAGAAGAAAATATGAACAAAGATGAATAAACCTAGGCTAAGGCTATGAACTAATCTGGAAAATCTGTAAACTATTGCTGAAATCTGGAAAATGCAGTCTGAAAGCTGAAAAACATGCTCTGGGCAGTTTGTGTGTGTGTTGGGCAGGCCTGAAACTGTTCTCTTCTCTCTATATTTATTTTCTTTGGTGCTGGTAACTTTCTCCATGATCTTCGGTACTGTTCCTCCATTTTCGGCACTGTTCCTCCATGATCTAGTAATGGGATTGCAGGTCTGGCAGTTATTTAATAGTTATCCGATTTTTATTTAACCTTAAAGATAACTACCTAAAAATCCTCAATTTTCCATTTTAAATCAAACTCAAACTACCAGATCCAATCTTATCTTCTGCCACCTAAGATCCAACCTCCTTGGAAATCCATCTGAGCCGTTAAATTGTAAGCCAGCCCAACCCAAATCCAGCCTATTGATTTTCTTGATAATTGGGCTTTACCTTGACACGTGGCCTTACCCTATTGGTTTATTTTAGGTGTAAACAATGCCCCCCAACACTTGGTTTTATGAGAATAAATCCAAGTGTTTAAATTTTGAATTACCTTTCAGGCTCCAGACTCCAAACTTCAAAGGCCACATGCAGAATCTGGCTTAGACAGCTTCCTGGAACTCCATTCCTCTTGCCTCCCAGACTGTGAGGTAATAAGGCTTGAGATAAATTCCATTGATTTTTCTGGGATGAAGCTCCCCATCAAGTGACTCCAACCAATAAGCACCCCCTCTCAACACTTCGAATTCGGAATGGTCCTTCCCAATTTAGGGACCATTTCCCAAATCTGTGATCTTTCTTGCCAAGAGGTAAAATTGCTTTCCAGACCAAGTCACCAACTGCCAGATTTTTACCTTTTACTCTCTTGTTGTAAGACTTTGCAATTTTAAGTTTTTGAGCTTGCAATCTATCCAAAGCTGTCAAACGTGAGTCTTCAAGGTCTTTAAGCTCAAGCATCATGGCCTCATCGTATTCTCCAGACTGGAGATTATGCTGAATCATCACTCTTAAAGACCTGGCTGTTAGCTCCATTGGCAAGACTGCTTCATGGCCATATGTCAAGGCAAAAGGTGTCATTTTGGTTGAACTCCTCTGTGAAGTTCTATAAGCCCATAGTGTTTTAGACAATAATTCATGCCAACGTCTGGGATTGTCATCCACCATTTTTTCAAGAAAATTAATCACCACCTTGTTAGAAGCCTCCACCTGCCCATTAGCTTGTGCATAATGAGGAGTAGAATTTAACAGATGGAAACCCATTTCTTTTGCAAATGCCTCCACTTGATGGCTGACGAAAACTATGCCTTGGTCTGTTGTAATTGTTTCTGGCAGACCAAATCTGTGAATGATGTCCTCTTTGATGAACGTGATTACATCAGATTGGTCTACCTTCTTCATTGGTTTAGCCTCCACCCATTTGGTAAAATAATCTATTGCCACTATAATAAATGAGTGACCTTTTGATGAAGGGGGGTACACCTTACCAATCAAGTCAATAGCCTAGCCTCAAAATGGCCACGGTTTCACAATAGAATTAAGTTCAGAGGTTGGAACTCTTTGAAGTGGCCCATGAATCTAACAATATTTGCAACCCTTAAGATACGCAATACAATCTTTTAAGATAGACGGCCAGAAGAAACCATGTCTACGAATTAACCAGCGCATCTTGATCCCAGCCTAGTGTGCACCACAAATCCCATCATGGACATCAGACAACATCTGGAAACTTTCATCTGGACCCAGACAACGCGGCAGTAATTCATAATGGCCTCTCCTATAAAGCACATCCTTAATCAAGACATAATTGAGAGCTTGCATTTTGGTTTTCCTAGATACCTTAGTGCTCTGATCCTAAAGGTACTGAATAATTGGAAAGCACCAGTCTGTCTGGGTAACATCAATGCTGCAGGTAGAAATTGTCATGCCACGTTGATGAATTGATGGCAGACTGCGCTTTTCAACTATTATAACCTTCTACATTACACCTTCAGAAATTCACAGACCTGAAGCAATCTGGGCCATTTCATTAGCTTCATAATTCTGGTCTCTAGGCACATGTCTGATGGACACATCATCAAACTCTTCCAGTAATTGCACAGCCAAGGCAAAATAAGGGGCTAAAGCAAGGCTAGTACATTTGTACTCACCAGACAATTGCTTCAAAAGTAGCTGTGAGTCCCCTATTACCTCAACCATGGATACTTTAAGCTCCACTAACATCTCAAGACCAATAATCAAAGCTTCATATTCTGCTTGATTATTTGTGCAATCAAAATCTAGTTGGAAAGACATCTGTGTTTTCAGCCCAGACGGGGAGATTACCACGACTCCAGTTCCAGACATGGTTTCTGTACTAGATCCATCAAAAATAAGTTTCCAGGGAACTAAACATATTGAAAACAAGTTAATCCCTTTTTCTTCATCTGCTTCCACATCCAGACATGGATGATCTACAAGAAAGTCTGCCAATGCCTGCCCTTTAACAGCCTTTTGTGGTATATACTTCAAATTAAATTCAGACAAGACTAGAATCCATTTACCTATTCGGCCTCTTAACAAAGGGCGGGACAATATATATTTGACAATATCAGTCTTGGCAACCACATACACCTCAGAATAAATCAAATAATATCTTAATTTTATTGCAGCAAAAAAGAGAGTAAGACACAACTTTTCGACCGAAGAGTATTTCACTTCGGTTTGGGTCAAACATCGACTCAAGTAATACACAGCCTGCTCTTGTTTTTTATTATTTTCCTACGCCAGCAGACATCCTATGGACTCGTCTGCGGCGGATATATACAAAATTAAAGACTTATTTTTTACAGGCGATATAAGTAATGATGGTTTGGATAAGTACCGCTTTATCATATCAAAGGTAGACTGGTGGTGTTCTTCCCACTTAAAATCTGCCTCAGACTTGAGTTTCAACAGAGGAGAAAAGACTTTGGTTTTCCCAGCCAAGTTAGAAATGAAACGTCTTAAGAAATTAACTTGGCCAAGAAATCTTTGTAACTCCTTCTTGTTCTGTGGTGGTTTTGCCTCAATCACAGCCCTGGCTTTGTTCTTGTCAACCTCCAGACCATGCTCATGCACCAAGTATCCAAGGAAGTTACCCGCAGACACTCCAAAGGCACACTTTAGTGGGTTCATTTTCAAGCCATGTTGCCTCATCCGTTCAAAAGCCTTCCTCAAATGGACCAGGTGGTCTGCTTCCCTATGTGACTTCACCACAACATCATCAATATAGATTTCCATGAATTTACTAATCATATCATGAAAAATTGCATTCATGGCTCTTTGATAGTATCTCCAGCATTCTTCAGACCAAATGGCATCACAACCCATTCAAAAGTTCCAACAGCACCTGGGCATCGAAAGGCTGTCTTAGGAACGTCTGTGTCTGCAATAAAAATTTGGTTGTACCCACTATGGCCATCCATGAAAGATAGAATTTTGTGACGGGTTACTCCATCAACCAACAAGTCTGCAATTGGCATAGGATACTCATCATTTGGTGTAGCTAAATTCAAATTTTGGAAATCAACACAGACTCTCAATTTTCCATTCTTTTTCAGCACAGGCACTACATTTGATAACCAGTCTACATACCTGCATGTCCGAATGAATCCAACTTTTACCAGCCGCTCAATTTCTTCTTTCACCTTCAAAGTGACCTCTGTAGGCATGCGTCTAGGCGGCTGTTTACACGGTCTGAATCCTTCTGCAATTGGCAATTTATGTTCCACTAATTTCCGATCCAGACCTGGCATTTTTGAGTAATCCCAAGCAAAACAGTCTTTAAATTCATGCAAAAGTCTGACAATTTGATCTCGTGTCTGCGGCTTAAGAGAGGCGCTAATAAATGTTACATTTGGCTCACTTTCAAACCCTAGATTGATCTCCTCCAGTGGGTCTTGAACTTCAGCTTTTAAATCACCTAACTTGGCTGGGGCAAGATCCAGCTCCAAAGTTATTTCATCACCTTGGTCTGCCTCCTCGCCTTCATGAACAATTTCAAACCTGTCTACCTAAACTGCTTTTTCAACAAAATAGGCCGCTAATTTTTTTGTTATCTCCAACACGGCCTTTTCTCTTTCTTGTCTCAGACGAGTTTGCTTCATTAGATTTCTTTAATTTTTAGTTTCCCCTTCGGCCTATAAGGAATTATTGTTGTTGGCTGAAGAAGTTCATCACAGACCTCCTCTACAACACGCTTAGACAATGACAGTCTGCTACATGCTGTTATCCCAATCAGCTTCCCATGTCTATCCATCCCAAAAAACCGAATGGTACCAATGTCTTCTTCATAATATCTAGCCTCCACCAGGTGAGTATTGGCTAAAAAAGGCTTATCATCTACAGACACAACCTCAGCTTTGCCTCCATTCCAGAAAATCAGTTTCTGGTGAAGTGAAGAAGGGACACACCAACTTGAATGAATCCAGTCACGCACCAAAAGTGCATTATAAGTAGCAACAGTATCCACCACAAAAAACATAGACATCAGTGTCTTATTTCCCACTGTTAATTCAACAAGCAGCACACCCCTTGAACGATTCACTCCTCTTGTAAAATCACTAATTGTAACCTCAGTATGCACTAAATCATCAAGAGACTTGCCTATTTTATAGAGCATGCAAGTTGGAAGGACATTGACTGCAGCTCCATTATCCACCAAGACACGGCTGATTGGAGTCCCATCCATATGAGCATTGATATAAAGTGGCCTAATGTGTCTGGCCATCTTTTGTTTTTGTTTTTCAAACACAATTTTGTCAGCCATGTCCTCATCTTCATCATCTTGAGCTAGAACAATGATTACCTCTTCTTCTATCTGTTCTGGGAACTCACAGACGATTGGTTCCTCCTCCTTCTTGGCTTGGAAAACCAAGGGTAATGTCAGCACCAGACATGACAAATTCACTGAGAATTCCCCAAAACGAATAGTCGCATCTTCTTTTGATTCAGCTCCACGATTCCTAGACTGTTCTTGTGCTTCAAAAGTTGCTTCCAAAACCCCGTCTGGACTCACAATGACAGATGCCACCTTTGGAGAGGCTGGAGATTAGTCATCCCCCTTTAGTAGAGTCTGGGTTACAGCCTCCTTTTTCTCTTTTCTCACCCACACCATGTTCCTTTTGGTAGGTTGGCGTGGTCTACGAGATGAACTTCCCTCAGCCTCCATCTGCTTCTGTTGCCTTTTTCGCTCTTCAGCCCTTTTGCGTTGCAATCTGCGCCTCAAGGTTCTGGGATTTTGGGCTGGAAACTTGGGATGACTGACTTTCTCCCGCCGTCTGGAAGGTGACTTGAGGGGCGGTTTGACCATCATTGGAGACCTAGTACCAGTTGAGTAACGTCTAGTACCTTCTAAGCTGAAGTTCTTGGTCACAATGATCCTTTCTTGCCCCCCGAGCCTCTGTTGGTCTAACCTGATGCTTCTGCTATGTCTGGATCTCTGTGCCTCAAGAACCCACCTCAAGTCTTTAGCAGCAAGGTTCCTTTGAGCATAAGGCAGACTACGATTTCTGGCAACACTCCTGAGGTCTGCAACATTCACACCGACAGACACAGCTGGAAAAGGGTCTGCATCTACTCCCATAGTTTCCTTCGCTTTGTCTGGAAATCTCAATATGTCCTTATCAATCTTTTCCAATGGCCTCAAGGCTGGCCCATGATCTCTATTGAAGAATTGAGCTGGTTGATTCTACAGACCACGCCGTACTGGCTGAGCTGGAGGAACTTGTGGCTGGAAAAAGTCCCTTGGACAAGGTTGATGATGAGGACCCACATTTCCCTTCCTAGCTGGCAGAATATACTTATGCTGAGGTTGATGGTCATGGTCTGCAACAGGAGTAGTAGCCTCCATCAATTGGTGTTGTCTTTGCCCTTCACCAATGACAAAATGCTGTTGTTGAATATTGGGATGAGGCTAATTCCCTTGCCCCTCGAGTGTTTGGATTGGGGCTTCCCGAATTTGTCTGGGCATTTCAACGACTCGAGGAGGGATCTCAAGTCTAGGCTGTCGCACTTGCTCAACTACTTGTTCTGAAATAGCCTGCAATGTTCTACGACTTTCTTCCCCAGTTTCTCGCATCACCCTAGTGCCCTCTTCAAAGACCCGTTTCATGTATTCTATACATTGTCTAATTAACTCTTCCTAACGTCTGGAGGATTCTGCTTGACTGTCAACAAGTCTCCGCATAGCCTGGTTCTGTTCTTTGAATGCTAAAGTCAGACGCTCAGTCATACCTCTAAACACATTACTTGATTCAGCAAAGTCACCCCCACGGTCTGCTTCTTTCTCCTTAAATACTAGATTCCCATAGGACCGTTCTGCTAGAGGTGACACTGGGAGAAAAGTGATGGGATCATTTTCGCCCTCAGAATGGAGTGGACTGTCGTCCGCATGCTCAACCTGGGCTGGCTAGACCTCTTTGTCTCTGCTCTTTCTCGGTGGCATGGCTCCAGACGCTTCTAGATGTATAAACAGAGGGTTTGTGAACTTTAACTGATACATCTTGCTGGTCCCACTGGGTGTGCCAACAAAGGATTGTTTCCCCAAAAATCCTCAGCCGACCTTTACCGCGTGAGTTTGGTTATTAGGTGTGCCACTTGCTTTGTCTAAAAACAAGAAAATAGGATTTTCTAGACAACCCTTTTCCTTTCTAGTGGTCAACCTCCAATAGGATGGCTGGAAAGAACGTCTGTGAAATGAATTGCGCCTCAGACGATGTTGCAAAACAAAGGGTAGAGTTCTGCAAAATGGGTTACTAATTGCCTTGGAAACCTCCAAGGACTTCACAACCAAACAAGTGTAATAAAAGCTACAAATCCTAAATTAAATGCGATATCCTAAGGCAATTAAACTAACATGAAAGAAATAACAGAAAATAACATGCCATAAAGATTAAATTCGTAGACAACAGAAAAAGTAAAATAACAGACAATGATTTCAACTACGCAGCCCATAATGATGACTAAAACTAAAGAAGAAACTATGAAATGATTAAAGTCTGGAAACTTATAAATTTAAATCTGGAAATTGAAATTAAACAAACTGCATGTCTGGATATTGTGCAGAAACAAAAGAACAAAGGTAGAAAACATTAATCTTATTTACATGAACGAATAACATAACTAAATCCATAAAAGGAAGAAGAACTAACCGAATCAAAAGGGCAGACCTGTTTTGAAGGCTAAGTTGCTTCCAAAAGTTTTAAAACTAATCTAAATTGGAATTTGCAGAAGAAAATATGAACAAAGATGAATAAACCTAGGCTAAGGCTATGAACTAATTGGGAAAATCTGGAAACTATTGCTGAAATTTGGAAAATGCAGTCTGAAAGCTGAAAAACATGCTCTGGGCAGTCTGTGTATGTGTTGGGCAGGCCTGAAACTATTCTCTTCTCTCTATATTTATTTTCTTTGGTGCTGGTAACTTTCTCCATGATCTTCGGTACTATTCCTCCATTTTCGGCATTGTTCCTCCATGATCTGGTAATGGGATTGCAGGTCTGGCAGTTATTTAATAATTATCCGATTTTTATTTAATCTTATCTCCAACAACCTTAAAGATAACTATCTAAAAATCCTCAATTTCCCATTTTAAATCAAACTCAAACTACCAGATCCAATCTTATCTTCTGCCACCTAAGATCTAACCTCCTTGAAAATCTGTCTAGGCCGTTAAATTGTAACTCAGCCCAGCCCAGCCCAAATCCAACCTAATGATTTTCTTGATAATTGGGCTTTATCTTGACACGTGGCCTTACCCTATTGGTTTATTTTAGATGTAAACAGTTTCAATTACATATTTTAATATATGTGTAATATCCCAAAATTTTCTAGAACATTAAAGTGTGCGTAGGGACCTAATTGTGAGGAAGTATTATTAATGAACTTAATAGAAAAAATTTTCAAAGTATAGGGACTTAAAAGAGGAAAAATTCTGGATAAGGATCAAGCTTCTTTTTTTTTTAATTCTTTTTCTTTTCTTCCTCATCACACGCGTGTCTTCTTCTCCTCTACCTCCCGAAAGCTTCCCCCCAAAGCCACTGAAACTTCCCCCTTGAGAACTGGTAAAGAGCTTGAGTTTTCCCTTTCCTTTCTTGATGGAGAACAAGATTTAAACCCAGAAATTTCCCCCAGCCACTCGCACGTTCTGCTCTTCTTCTTCCTCGCCCCTGCGACCCGAAAAAAAAAAAAAAAAGGAAGCCAGCTGCCGGCGACGTCTCCCCTGAGAAAACCGGCAAAGCTTGGTGATTTTTCTCTTCCTTCTTGTTCAAGAACAAGCTTTAGGATTTAGAACCCTCCCTCTGAAGCCAGAAAATTCAGATCTGTGGTTGCTTCTTCTTCCTCTGCCGCGGGTTGCTGCTGGGTGGGTTGGGAGTCCGGTTTTGGTAAGAAATAGCTAAGAAATCATCTTTGTAGCCTTGATTTGGCTTGGGTTACCCTAATTTCTGTTTTGGTTCTTGAATTTGTGATAGCCCGTGTGTGCCTCCAGATTCTTCCCGTCGACTTCCTCACCAGCCAAGCTTGGTTTCTACTGTTGGAAAATTCTGGTATGGATAGCCCTTTTAAGTCCGAATTTATCAAGTAATTGTTGTCCATTTAGTTGCTCTGTGTTGTCCGAGATCTTGCCGGAGTTATGGGATAATTGTGGGTAGCATAAAATGGGTTTTGGGTTGCTAATTCGTGTAGAATTCTGTGCGGTTGTCCCGGGAATCATCTTTGCTGTTTGAAGTTGTTTTTTTTATGCCATTTTAGTTATCCTGGAGAAATTGTTCTGATTGCTGGTAGATGGAAATTTGTGGCAACGAAAATTATGAAAATTTCCTTGATTCGCTACTGCTTTGTCAAAGATGGAAAATTGAATAAAAGCCATACTTCTCATTGTTTGCCCGTGAGTTTGGGAAGCTATAAATGTATGTAAATGTGTGTGTGTTAATTGATATATATATATATATATATATACCCAATCCGGATTAATGCTAAAATTCGGAAAGAAGAAAAGAATAAATAAATAAATGAATATTGCATTTTTGAGGTTTTGCCGGCAATAATAAAGTGGATGAAATGCTTAGTTCTATATGAGAATAAAATTAGAGGTGTTCGGTCATGAGAGATTGATATAAATTGCGATGTTGTGTTAATATTCTAGCGAGGTCTGAACATGTTTATTTGGAACACTAGGTGCTGTTGTGGCTTAGAACTCTGGGGTCGAGTTTCCTGTTTATGCCAAGTGAGATAAGTAAATTATGGTAACGGCCTCCGATTTTAAAGTATTATTTAACTTGTTTTTGAAGTGGTGGCGGGACTAAACCCGTTTTATATAAAATGAGCATGATTGATTTGAAATAAATTATTATAATTTTTATGGATTTGAGCATGCCTACTTGAAGTTCATTTGGCTGCCCTGATGATCTGAAAGTTATTTGTAAAGAATGATTTTCAGTTAACTTATGCCTGTTTTGTCTCCGATGTGGTTATGTTATTGATGATCCTGCTAGTGGGGGTTAAACGCTAGCATATGTCGACATGTCATTGATAGAATCAATTCGTCCGAATGACCCCGCTAGTGGGGGTTAAACACCAGCAATAGTGTAGCCTGCCAGTGGGAGGTTTAAACACTGCCATGACTTATAGAGGAGACGTCTATTTTGTTCTTGTACTGTATCCGTTTTTCATGTTTACACTTGTTGGCATGCTATAAATTTAATTAAGGGCACTCCATATTTTACTTACTGAGTTTATCTCATAGTTTTCCTTGTCCACCATTTCAGGTAGTAAGACCCGACGCATGGGGAGCCCGGGGGAGTGACGAGCTAGACGGCTAGGCACTTTTGGACTTAGATTTTTGTAGTTAGGCCGTTAGTCACCCATGCTTGGCTTAGAAATTTTTGTGTACAGAACTTACTTTTAGTCATGATCGTATATATGAAGTGATAAATTTTGTACATCTTGACTAGTAAATATTTGGTAAATAAAAAGGTTTAGATTTGAATTGTCTGAATTGCTAAGTAAGAATTCAGTAGGTTCCGAACCTTGTGCATTTGTGAGTCTCACTCACGATTGCACGACGTTTGCCACGTCCCCGGATTTGGGTTCTGGGGCGTGACAATATGTTTAGAATACAGAGTTAATTATATTATATTAATTATAAATTATATCTAAAAGAGCTTGAAAGAAATTAAGTAAAAAAAGAGGAATTAATATCTCGTAAAGTCGGCTCTACGGAAAAAACAGCATGTGCAAAATCTCGTAAAGTCGGTTGCAGAAATTGCAAATTGACTCTACAGAGTCGGCTTTGATAACTTAAGCCAGCTCTCCTGAAAACCCTACAGTTGGAAAAATAAAAGAGATTATTTCGGTCAACTTATTGACCGAAATAATCTCCCATATCCCCCCACAATTCCCCATAGTTCGCCTAAGAACCACACGTGTCTGCATATTATTTCGGTCAAAATAATTGACCGAAAAACACATCACACTATCCCATGCACCAACAACAAGGTGAGAGTATTATTTCGGTCAATAAGAATGACTAAAATAATATCAACTAACGAAGTCCCGAGCTTGTCGACTGCCAGAAAATTTTGGAGAAATTTTGAATTTCCCTCATTATTCATTTCGGTCATAATTTTTGACTGAAATAATCTCATATTGCCGCTTGCCCATGGGTTTGAAATTTTCACTTTTTATTTCGATCAGTATGATTGACCGAAATAGTGCTTAGTTTTTATATATATAGAGGCTCACTCTTTTCTTTCATTTATTCTTCTTCTCTTCTTCATTTCTTTCTTCTCTTCTTCGGTTCTTTCTTCTCTTCCACAAAAATTTTATGAATAAATTGTTAATCATTTATTTCTCTTAATTTTAATTAATTATTTTTTAATTTTCATTTAATTTGTATTTCTTCATCTTAGTACCCCTCTTTATCTTTTTATTTGAAGTTTAATTTAAGTTCTTTAATTTTTTTATGCGAAATTAATATTAGTAATTTCTTTTTTTTTTAACATATTTCTTTGTTTATATAAATATTGTAAATCTTTCATAACATTTTATCAACTTATATATATATCTTTAATGTTTATACTAATAATTTCATTTTTTTTCTTTGAAAAGGGTACCTAATTTGGTGAAGAATGGGGCAGCATTATGGAGGTAATTATCTTTATTACCATAATTAATATACATATTGTTTAATTTACTCATAAACATATTTTTTCATTTATTTTGGATTTATTTTGCATGCTTTTAGTTAATATGATTTTATTTGTGATTTTTTTATTTATTTGACATTATATTTTAGTAGGATTTTTTTATAAATGTAAAGTATTTTTTTATTAATAAATAATTATAATCATAAGAAAACAAGCATTAAATATTCAAAAATTAAATAAATAACAATTATATATAATTCATAATATTAATATCGAATTATTTTAGTAGTACATGTTTTTATAATATCTATTACTTATATTAAAATCTATTAAATAATTTATATTTTTTTTCAAATCTGGATATATATTTCGATCAATATACTTGACCGAAATAATTTGGAAATTTTCGTCATCTCCGCCCCGCCTAAAATTTCCGCCCAAATTTTAAAAATGTCTGCAGATATATTTCGGTCAATATAACTGACCGAAATAAATTTGAAATTTTCGCCAAGTTCACCCGCCTAAAATTTCATATTTTCTTTCAATATATTTCGGTCAATAATATTGACCGAAATACATCTCATAATTCCAACCAAAAAATAGCCGAAAATTGGGCGTATATTTCGGTCATTTTCATTGACCGAAATACATCTAAAAAAATCCACCCTAAATTAGTTGAAATTTGGGCATATATTTCAGTCAGTTTAATTGACCGAAATTGGGCTTGGAAAACTGTTTTTGTACTCTTATTTCGGTTAGTTATTAACCTCGAAAAAATAATTTCGAATACCAAAAATAATCCTTTCTTTAATTCGGTCAATTATACTGACCGAAAGTTTTACATAAAATATTATTATTAAATTCAGTCAAATTACTTATCTGAATTTAAGTTTTTATTTAATGAATTTCCCACTCACATTTTCGATCAGTTATTTTAACCGAATTGATAAGTTATTTCAGATAAGATAAAATTTTGTCCGAAATACTATTTCTTACAGAGGTTATTTGAGCATTATATTTCGGTTAGTGATTTTGACCGAAGTATGATTTATTCGATCGTATAGGGCACTATTTCGGTCAATCAATATACCCTAAATCTAGTAGTGAATAACACACCAATGGAGGACTATTGGCCCCCTTAAGATTTTTAATATATATATGGTGTATATTTTATTTTTAGTAGTTTTCATATTTATATTATTTAAGTACTAGAATTGCCTTTTATTTATTTAGATCATGATTTGGTAATTGATGGTAACATAATTAGATGAGTTTGAATTTTTTTGGGTTTTAGAATTATGAGTTATGAAAGAGTATAGTTTTTTTTTTTTTTTTGGTTATGTATGCTAGGTGTTCGATAAAAAAATTTCAATGAGGATAACACATCATCTTTATTACCGTTTGTTTTGTGTATAATGTTTTGAGTTCTTTATTAAAGACATTTAATTTGTTTTATCTTTTTCATTATTAATTAATATGACATATAGTTAAAAGTGAGATCTAACAAACCTACACTAGTAGAGAACAAGACTTAAGCAATAGTAATATTATCAATTATATTATTATTAAATTAATATATATAATCAATAGTCACATATCTATTGATCATATTTATATAACTAATAGTAAGGTTGTGGATTATAAGTTTTCTCGATTATTTTTGCAAAAAAAAAAAAAAATAATCAACTTAAACCACTTTCTAACATAACAAACAATGTCATTGTTAGTTATATATGTAGAACCGAATAAATTTAGGCTGTTAGTTATATTTTTATTGGTTATATCTTGTTTTCTAGTAGTGCTATATTTTATTATTTTTGAGTATTTAATTACATATAGAATAGAGATAGACTTTAAAATATGATGGAGAATTAAACTTGAGGGATAAAAATAGGGTTAAAGAGAAAAATATTTGTATACCTAAACTTGAGTATGATTTATAGTGTTTGGTTTTTATAAATTTTTTTAACTCTAAATGAAAAAACTAGTTTAGTTAGTGTGTGATTTTTAACATATTATTATAATTATTAGAGAAATCAAAATAAAAATAGTTTTAATACCATTAAACAAGTCTATAGTCTTGATTGTTAGGGTTAACAAATTATCAATTTTTAGTTTTGATTTTTAACTGTTAAATATTTTTTAAAACTAAAACCAAAAATATAATACAATTATGCTGAACAAAACTAAATTTATATATATGTTATTTTTGTTTTATAATTTATATTACATGATAGAAAAAATTTTATTAGCCAACCTAAAATCTTGGTCGAGCTCTCTCCTTGAAATAACATATTTTACTAATGAAAAATGATACATACACCTTGTAAAATTACACACTAATCACTTTCATTACTCATGCTTTTAAAATTGACAATTTTTGTTACTTGTGCAGTTAAAAAATAATGGTTTTCATTATTTACATGTTTAAAACTAACGATTTTTGTTATACATTGACGATTTCCGTAAATGTGTTTGTAATTTTACAAGGTATATATATTATTGTCCTTTTGTGAGGGCAGGACCGAGGTGCCCAGCCTCGGACGTACGACAGTAATTCCTTTACAACTGGAGTGAAGAGTAAATCCAGAGCTTCCCGCTCGAACAGTTGTACAGCAGTTATGATGCACATCCTCGCATCTAAATATCTCTTAATTCCCCAGTCCCGAAATAACCGTCTGGAGATACACATCAGATCCCGAATATCTTGCTTGGCTCAATCCCCCGGTTCCAAAATAACCGTCTAGAGATACATATCAGATCCCGAGTATCTTGCTTGGCATGCCACATAGATTCTTCATTGGAGCATATAAATACCCCTCAAGGGCCACGCCAAAAGGTAATTGGAACCAACCCTAAGCTCCTTGCTTCTTCGTTCTAAAGATAGCCTCGATTATTGCTGTAATATCCCAAAATTTTGGGGTATTTTAGCATTTAATTGGGGACTTATTTGAGGAAAAATATTGTTTTGGGGCTTAATCACAAAATTTTAAAAAGTTGAGGGGCTAAAAAGAAAGGAAATTAGGATAAGGATGAATTGCTTTTTCTTTTTCTTTTTCTTCCTTTCTTTCCCTCCCCATCAGACCCGCGTGCCCTGCTCTTCCTCTCCCCCGACCCTCTGCACCCGACGAGCTCCCCCCAACTACCGCCACCCATTTTCCGGCCGACAATTCGGCAAAGCTTGGGGATTTCTCCCTATTTTCTTGTCTTAGAACACCTGTTGAACCCAGAAAATCCCAAATCTGCGTCTTCCTCCCTCTGCTGTCCGTCGGCTTCAACTTGTGGGTTTGAAATTTCTAGGCGTTTTTCGATAAGAACAGCCCTGAATCTCCCTTTTCTCTCTTGATTTAGGCTTGGGTTTACCTTGAATTGTGTTTTGGTTTTTGGATTGAGGTAGCCGTGAGTTTTCCCCCATGGGTCCCGTCGACTTCCTCACCAGCCAAGCTCGGGTTCTGCTGGTTGGAATTCTGGTTTTGATCGTTCTGTCACCGTGGCACTTGGGTTAGCCTTTTGTTCTGTGCGAGTGAGGTAAGTAAATTATGGTAAAGCCCTTCGATTTTAAAGCATGTTTTAAATTGTTTTTGAAATGGTGGCAAGCTTTAAATTGATTTTATCAGCATCTGAGTGTGATTAAACTAAAATGAGAATTTCGTTGTTTTTCTGGAATAGAGCATGCCTATTTGGAATTGACTGAACTGTTTTGATGAACTGAGAGTTTGCAAATTCTGCGGTTTCTATTAAATTCATGTTCACATGGAATTTTCTGGTTATTTCTTAAATTTGGGATTTTGATTGTGAATCCTGCATGGTTTTGTCTCTGATATGGTCATGATTTCCGATCCCCGCTAGTGGGTGTGTAGCACTTCCGATCCCCGCTAGTGGGTGTGTAGCACTTCCGATCCCCGCTAGTGGGTGTAACGCTAGCACTTCCGATCCCCGCTAGTGGGTGTGTAGCACTTTCGATCCCCGCTAGTGGGTGTAACGCTAGCACTTCTGATCCCCGCTAGTGGGTGTACGCTAGCACATGTCGACATGTTTACTGATATGACGCCTGCCACTCGGCGAATACATTGGCAAATTCCGACGCCTGCCACTGGGCGAATACATTGGCAAATTTCTGTCGCCTGCTAGTGGGTTGTTATAACACTGACCATGACTTATAGATGAGACTACTGAACTGAATTTGATTCTGCATTAACGGTTTTGTCATGAAACATTTTGTTATTGAACTGAATTTGATTTTGCATTGACGGTTTGTCAGGAAACGTTTTGCTATTGAACCGAATTTGATTTCCGCATTAACGGTTTATCAATGAAAGTTCTGTTATACTTACATGGTTTATCTGGCATGCTAAAAGTTTTACCCAAGGGCTATTCATATTTACTTACTGAGATATTTTATCTCATAGTTTTCCTTGTCCACCATTTTAGGAAGCGAAACCGAGGACGGGGAAATCAAGGGGAGTGACGAGTTAGAAGGCTAGCCATTTTGTAAAGTGAATATAGATTTGAGATATAGATCATGATCTTGTAAACAAAAGTTTAATTGGAGATTTTATAAATTCAGTTAATGGATTGTTAGTTACAAGAAATTTGACCTGGAGATTTTGAGGTTAAGTCATGTGGACATAGAAAAGAAATTTTGAAATATCCGATCTAAGGTACGGGATTGTCAGATGTGAATTGGATAAGTTCCGATCCTTGTGCATTTGTGGGACCCGTCTCACGAGTGCACGGCGTCTGTCGCGCCTCGGATTTGGGTTCTGGGGCGTGACAATTGCTGACTTAGGCATCAGAGTGTCTACCCCGAGGACCCACCTCGGGGCTTTGCAGGTCAATCCGGAGTGCAGATACGGACTGAAGAAGGACTTCTGGTTTGGTGCAGTTACATTTTGGTGCCGTCTGTGGGAATCTGAACTAAAGGCTCCCTTGTTGCTCTTATCATGGTTAAAACTAGGTCAGCCCGAGGGGGAAACTCGTCTCAGCCTCTTGGGCAAGGTCAGGTCCCCAGCAACCTTCCACCTCATCCCCCACCCCCAATCACGAATACATTCCCTCATGTTGACCATACAGAAGGAGGGGATGAAAATCAGCCACACAATTCGGCTCGCAACTCAGCCTCTACTGCTAACCAAGACGTAGTTGCAACTCAGCTCGCTGCCATGTAACAGCAGTTTGGTGTCTTTCAGCTAGTGCTGGCTCAGCTGTTAGCCCGGAACAATCCTGGTGATCCACCCATCAACCTACTTAATCCTACTCCACAACCCCCAGCTCCACCACAAAATCTTGAACCAGTTCAGCATGCTCCTGCTATTAGTGAATCTCAGGGCCAATCTCACATCGCACCAGTTCAGCAACCCCTTCATGATGATGTCACTCGACGTCTAGATAGCTTAGAAAAGCTAGTGGCTGAATAGCGAGGTGGCCCACCTCCACACCCTGCTGCTGACTCCGTACCCCACCCTCTCAACACTAATATTACACTGGAACCCTATCCCGCTAGCTTCAGGATACCACAACTTGAAACTTATGATGGGACGAAGGACCCCGATGATCATCTCCATGCTTTTTACTCTTGCATGCAAGCCCAGAACGCCTTTGATGCGCTGATGTGCAAAATCTTTCCCTCCACTCTCCGAGGTAATGCTCGAACCTGGTACTACAGTCTACCTCCGAGGTCAATCAGCTCTTATACAGAAATGGCATCTACTTTTGCCACTAAGTTTTCCAATAGAAGGTTGATCAGGAAAACTACCTCCGAACTAATGCGAGTTAGGCAGAGGGACGGAGAGTCTTTGAAGAATTTTATGAGCAGATTCAATGATGCAATATTGGAGGTTAACTCCTTCGACCAGGCTGTAGGAATTACAGCTGTGATCTCAGGTCTTAGCCATGCGAAATTCAGAGATAGTATGCTTAAACATCCTGCCACCACCTTCAACGAGCTAAATGATAGATCACTGAAATTCATCACTGCTGAGGAATATGCCCTGTCGTAGAATCGAACTCATATTAAGAACCAACACCCGGATTAGGGAGATGAGAATCCGAATAGGAAACGGATGAAGACAACACAGAACCGAGGTCCCATGCCGACTTCCACCCCGAGGTTCGAAAGGCCGAGCTCAGCACCTCCACAGCAACCTGCAGGTAAACCTCCAGCTACTTGGACCCCTTTTAATTTGCCAAGGTCACAAATCTTTATGCAGATTAAGAATAAGATGGACTTAAGGCGTCCGGGTCCAATGAGAATTGCTGCTGCTACTAGAGATCGCGCTAGGTATTGTGATTTTCATCAAGATCACGGTCATACAATAGAGCAATGCAACAGTCTGAGGTCCGAGCTGGAAAGTCTGGCTCAGAAAGGAATGTTGAATGAGTACATCCAGAGAGTAGAACAACCAAGGTTTGTCAGAGAACAAAGGCCACAGCATCAAGGAGTCCGCAATCCCCCAAACAAGCAAGGTGTGGGATATCAGCAAGCCCCACCACCGTTCCCACCACCAGCTAGAATCATACACATGATTATGGGAGGCCTGGAAGCTGGTGGACTAAGCTCTAAGCAGCGAAAGTTGTATGTCAGAGAGGTTAAGCATCAGAACCAAGCTCAAAAGCGAAAGTTTGACGATGCTGAGTGGAAGAATCATCCGATTACCTTCACATCCGCTGATCTCGATACAGTCATCACACCTCACAATGAACCCCTAGTCACTTCTGTCACGATTAACAATTGTGAGGTGCAGCGCGTCCTTGTTGACACAGGGAGTGCACCAGACATCATGTACTTCCATTATTTTGAAAGTCTTAGGTTGGATCCGGCTTTGTTGCAGCGGTATGATGGTCTCATCTACGGATTCAACAACCAGCCAGTCCTAGTTGAAGGAATCCTCACCATGAATGTTGCATTTGGAAGTGGCCGAAGTTATGTGACCCCTTCAGTTAGGTTTCTGGTAGTCAAGATGGCGTCCTCATTCAACGTCGTCATTGGCCGACCCACACTGACTGAAATCCAAGCTGTGGTTTCCCAATCTCACCTATGCATGAAATTCCCAACTCCTATGGGAATAGCAACGCTGCGAGGCAACCAGGAGGTGACCCGACATTGCTATATCACCTCGGTAACACAACCTCAGAAGGGCAAGGCTCAGACACCCGAGATTAATCCCAAACGGGTCACCTATGCATGAAATTCCCAACTCCTATGGGAATAGCAATGCTGCGAGGCAACCAGAAGGTGACCCGACATTGCTATATCACCTCGGTAACACAACCTCAGAAGGGCAAGGCTTAGACACCCGAGATTAATCCCAAACGGGTTCCTAATGATCGGTAAGTTATGGGTGTTGAGATAGTAGATAACCGACCAGAAGATGAAACTAGAGCTGCTCCAGTCGAAGATGTGGAAGAGGTACAGATTGATGACAGAGATCTGAGCCGGAAAACGCAAATTGGGACTAAATTGAACCCGGAGGAAAGAGCAGAGCTAATAGCTTTTCTTCGGGCCAATAAAGATGTTTTTGCATGGACTTCAGCAGATATGTCGGGAATTCCCACTTCAGTTTCTCAACATAAACTCAGCACCAATCCACTCAAGAAACCAATAGCCCAGAAGCGACGCCTCTTTGGGGGGGAGAGGTTAAAGGTTATTAAAGAAGAAGTCGAGAAACTCCTACAAGCCAGCTTTGTTAGAAGGGTAGATTACTATGAGTGGGTCGCCAATCCGGTGCTGGTGAAAAAAGCAAACGGTAAATGGCGGATGTGCATCGATTACACCAACCTCAACGATGCATGTCCAAAGGACTGTTACCCAATGCCAAACATTGATAAGCTGGTTGAAGCAGCTTTGGGAAACGAGAGATTGAGTCTCTTGGATGCATATTCAGGATATCACCAAGTGCCAATGGCTCCAGAAGATGAAGAGAAAACATCGTTCTATGCCGGCGATGAAATCTATTGCTACGTGATGATGCCCTTCGGCTTGAAAAACGCGGGTGCTACTTACCAGAAGATGGTTACCATCGTATTTCGAGCTCAAATAGGCAGAAATCTGGAAGTTTATGTTGATGACATAGTGGTGAAGAGTTTGAAAGCTGAAGATCATTTAACCGACCTCGAGGAGACATTCAACAACCTCAGAAAGAACAGAATGAGGTTAAATCCAGCAAAGTGCATCTTCGGTGTGGAGTCGGGAAAATTCCTAGGCTTCATGGTGTCCAAAAGGGGGATTGAGGTCAACCCTGAGAAGATCAAAGTAGTAGCCGAAATGGAACCTCCGAAGTCAGTAAAAGATGTGCAGAGGTTGACAGGAAAAGTAGCAGCCCTTCATAGATTCATTTTGAAATCAGCAGATAAATGCCTACCGTTCTTCAAGATCATGAGATTGGTAGCCTAGAAGGATGAATCTGGCAAACAAAAGAAGTTTGAATGGAATCCAGAATGCCAAGGTGCATTTGACGAGCTGAAGTCTTATCTTAGCTCACCTCCTTTGCTGGCAAAGGCCGAGGATGGAGAAATCCTTTACTTGTACCTCGGTATATCAGATGAAGCTATCAGTTCTGTGCTAATAAGGGAAGAGGGGAAGCAACAGAAACCAGTTTACTACATCAGTAGTGTGTTACATGGAGCAAAAGTCAGATATTTCATTGCTGAGAAAGCAGCCTTAGCAGTTGTCACTTTGGCCAGGAAACTGAGACCGTACTTTCAATCACACCCAATCATAGTCCTCATGGACTAGCCGCTCAGACAAATTTTGCAGAAGCCAGAATGTTCGGGGAGATTGATCAAATGGGCAGTTGAACTGGGTGAATTCGAGCTCACATTTCAACAAAGGTCAGCAATCCGAGCTCAGGCTCTTGTCGATTTCATAGTAGAGTGTACCTCGGCTCACTCTGATTCCCAGTTCGAGGTGGACAGTTGGATTTTGTATGTTGATGGCGCATCAAGTAACAAAGGTTCTGGCGCTGGTGAACTCTTACTTGGCCCAGATGGGTATCGAAGCGAACACGCTCTAAAATTTAATTTTGATGCCACCAACAATATGGCCGAATACGAAGCCCTGCTACTCGGCTTACAGCTAGCGACAGAGCTGAAGGTTGAAGTAATACAAATATACAGTGATTCACAGCTAGTAGTCAATCAAGTCAACTCAGTCTGTGAAGTGGTTGATCCTGTTATGATAAAGTATGCAGCTTTGGTGGTCGAACTGAAATCCAAATTCCAGAAATTCCACTTAAGCAAAATACCTCGAGCTGAAAATGAGCAAGCAGACTCCCTCTCCAAGTTTGCTTTGGATGCCAACCAAAGCTCCAAATTGGTCTTTGTAGAAATTCTGGATGAGCCTAGCTTCCTGAAGCCACGAGTGTTGGAGGTCAGCACAGATCCTAGCTTGTCGAGCTGGACAGATCCAATTATCTCGTTTCTACGAGATGGCACAGTGCCTGCAAATAAACAGGAAGAGATGAGGTTGCGGAAGAAGGCATCTCAGTATACCCTTGTTAATGATGTCCTCTACAAGAGATCTTTCTTACTCCCTTTGCTCTGCTGCCTAACCCCTTACGAGGCTGAATACGCACTTCGGGAGGTGCATGAAGGTGTCTGCGGAAGTCACGTAGGTGCTCGAACTTTGACCCATAAAGTCCTTAGACAAGGTTATTATTGGCCCAACATGTATAAGGATGCCATCCAGTTCATTCAGAGGTGTCAGCAGTGTCAGTTCTTCGCACATCTGATCCACCAGCCTATAGAAGAGCTCACTACTCTGGTAGCACCTTGGCCATTTGCTCAGTGGGGTCTTGACCTTTTAGGTCCATTTATGAAGGGTGTAGGAGGTGTAACCCATCTCATCGTTGGTGTGGATTATTTCACAAAATGGGTCGAAGCTCGGGCACTATCCAGTCTTACCTCCAAGAAGGTTGAAGACTTTGTTTTCAGCTCGATCATTTGCAGATATGGGATCCCGAATCAGATTGTAGCTGATAATGGAACTCAGTTCAATTGCTCCTCATTCCGAGATTTCTGTTCCAGTTACGGGATTAAACTGCACTTCACCTCGGTTTACCATCCGAAGTCCAACGACATGGTCGAATCTGTTAACAAATGCATCTTAAAAGGTATCAAGTCGAGGTTGGAATAGCACAAGGCCAAATGGGCAGACGAACTCAACAATGTCCTCTGGGCATACAGAACTACGAGCCGAACTGCCACAGGTATTATTTTACACCTGGTCTACTTGATTAATTTTATGTCATTTTACTTCTTTTGCTACGGCTTTACCTTAGAACAAATATGCATAACGCGTAAAGCGAATTCTAAAGTTATAATCAACTGAAATAGGTGAAACACCCTATCATCTGGCCTTTGGCACCGAAGTAATCATTCTTATCGAGATAGGAGTCCCAAGCTTCAGGGTCACCCATTTCAATGAAGGACGAAATGGACAACTGCTTCGGGAAAACCTTGGTTTGCTTGACGAAAGTCAGAGAAGAAGCACGACTTCGAACTCTAGTCTACAAGCAGAAGATAGCAAACTTCTACAATAAACGAGTTCGACCCCGAACATTCAAAGTAGGAGACCTTGTTCTCAAGAAAGCTGGTCTAACGGGGTTCGAAACTCGATTTGGAAAGTTGGCACCAAACTGGGAAGGCCCCTACACTATAACCGAAGTGCCGCACCCAGGTGCTTATATCCTGCGAGACACCGAAGGCAAACGGGTTCCTAGAGTCTGGAATGTCAATAACTTGAAGAACTTTTACCCTTAAGTATACCTCATTTAAGTGAATTTTGTCTTTATCACTTCCATTCCTTCCGCTCAACCTAATGTGTATTTGAACTCAATTCATTTATCTCTTTAATAAGTTTCACTTCATATTTGAAGTAATTCAGTTCTGTGTACTCTTCTATATGTTGAAAGTGGGATCTCACTTATTTTTGAAGTCTGTTCATTCTGACTCATTCAGTCACTTCATTTTCTGAGTTATCATCTTGTTAATCAGTTATGCTTTTGAAGTGTTTTACTTTATCTTTTCTTATCTACATGTTTGAAGGCCGAAGTCAATTCCCTTACAGCTCATTTTACTATGTCCGAGATCAGCCCCTTGTGTCAATTAAAGTCACTTTATTTCATCCGAAGTGATTTACTTAAAACAGACACAACAAACAGACATCAAAACATGCAAGTCACAAATAACTTCAAAAAAAATTTTCATCAATTAATAAAAGTCAATTACAAAAATATTCATTACAAGAATCCTAAACTACTGGAGGAGGAGGCTGCTCCTTAGGCAGAAGAGGTGGCGATCTGGGCTCGTCCTCAGCAGGCGGAGGCGGCACTTTTTCTTCGAGCGAAGCTAACTGCTGCACTTCGTCGGAGGAGACTGGATGAACAACGGGAGGCTGAACTTCGGACTAGTTTGCCTGATTCTCCTTTCCTGCACCTTGCTCCTCTTCTTCTTCTTCTTTTTCTCCCTCCACGGCCACCAACTCAGCATTAGAGGTTGGAGGAAAAATAGTGCGCCCCTCTGCATCACGTTCCCACCCCAGCGTGATTTGAGGCCGGAAATCAGCAGAAAGGCTCTCACCATCTTCCTCCACTCCTTCTTTTTGTTCCCCAAAGGTGACCGTTGTGACGTCCACGATCATAGTGGGCCAATAATAACCATGCCTCAGGAGTTTCCTAGCTAAAGTTCTGCCACCAATGTGCGTGCCACATACTCCATCGTGAACTTCTCTCATGGCGTATTCAGTTTCATAAGGAGTAAGGCAACGTAATAGGGGCATCGAGGCTGCTCGCTTGTAGAGCTGGTTATCTAACAAGGTAAAATTTGCCGCCCTGCGTTTAATCAATTTTGCAGCGGACTGGTCTTCATGTAGCTCGCCACTTTGTATATAATTTATGAGTGGGATGGTCCAGCTCGGTGTAGAGAGATCTGTGCTTAGCAGTTGACACTCGACTGTGAAATCAGTGTAGCTCGGTGCGTCAAGCACTTCGACGATAGTTGACCTCTAAGGGGTAAGGTCCTGCGAGGAGGCCAATTTTGACAGCTCGTCAGCTTGGTGGTTGTCTGCTCTTGGTATTTTGTTGATCTGGAAGGAGACAAATCCTGACTTCAATTTGTTGACCACAGAAGCATAACGACCAAGCTGAGGATCCCTGATTTCACAGCTGCCTCTTACCTGGCCTACCACGAGCTGAGAGTCACTGAAGACTTGAATGTTCTGTACCTTCAGCTCGGATGCCAGCTTCGATCCATAAATGAGGGCTTCATACTCTGCAGCATTATTGGTTGTTTGGAACTGAAACCTCAGGGCATGCTCGGATTTAAAACCATCAGGGCCCAGTAACACAGCTCCGGCACCCGATCCTTCGATATTAGCAGCTCCATCTACATACAAAACCCAACACGGGTGTTCAGGTGCCTTTTCTTTCACAGCCGCCGGGGCACATTCAACCAAGAAGTCTGCCACAGCTTGGCCCTTTATAGTTGTGCGCGGTTGAAATTTGAGGTCATATTCACTCAGCTCGACACTCCATCCGATGAGCCGACCAGAGAGTTCCGGCTTCTGCAATATTTTCCTTAACGGGAAACCAGTATAAACAATAATCTGATGAGACTGAAAATAGGCTCTCAGCTTACGAGCTGTGTAAACCAAAGCAAAGGCAGCCTTTTCTGCTATTGGGTAGTTCTGTTCGGCACCTTGTAACACCTTGCTCACGTAGCAGATAGGCTTCTGATTCTTATTCTCTTCCCGCAGTAGCACTGAACTCACCGCTTCTTTTGTGACCCCCAGATAAAGATATAAACATTCCCCATCAACAGGCTTGGACAGCAGGGGTGCGGACGCCAAATATTGTTTGAGCTCGTCAAACGCCTGTTGACATTCACCATTCCACTGAAAGTTTTTAGGCTCCCGTAGAGCTTTGAAGAATGGAAGGACCTTTCTGTCGACCTGGCTATAAACCTGTGCAACGCAGCCACCTGACCTATCAGACGCTGTACATCTTTTACTGTCTTAGGAGGTTCCATCTGCTGAACGGCCTGTACCTTTTCTGGATTTACTTCGATTCCCTTCTTGGATACCACGTACCCTAGGAATTTCCCTGATTCCACAGCAAACGTGCATTTCAAGGGATTCAGCTTCATTTGAGCTCGACGCAAGTTTTGAAAAGTTTCATCCAGGTCGTCAATGTGATCCTCAGCTCGCACGCTAGTGACTATCATGTCGTCTACATACACTTCTATGTTCCTGCCGATCTGGAGCTTGAAGATGATTTGCACCAGCTTCTGGTATGTTGCTCCAGCATTTTTGAGGCCAAACGGCATCATGACATAGCAGTATATTGCATCACCAGCGTAAAAAGCTGTTTTTTCCTAGTCGTCTAGCAACAGCTGGACCTGGTGGTAACCCGAGCTGGCGTCTAGGAAACTCATCCGCTCATGCCTAGCTGCCCGTTCTACCAACTTCTCGACATTTGGCAACGGATGAGGGTCTTTTGGACATGCGTCATTGAGGTTGGTGAAATCAATACACATCCTCCACTTGCCGTTTGGCTTTTTGACGAGCACAGGGTTTGACACCCATTCAGAGTATTCCACTCTTCTGATGAAGCCTGCCTGTAACAACTTTTGTATCTCTTCATCTATGGCAGCTTGCTTCTCGGGGCCAAAAAGGCGGCGTTTTTGCACCACCGGCCTTCTGGTGGGGTCTGTGCTAAGCTTGTGGACTGTCAATTTTGCTGGGATGCCAGGCATTTCATTCGTAGTCCACGCAAATACGTCCTGATTATCCCTCAGAAAT